AAATGGAAGCATCTCATCCCAATCTTTGTATGTCACCACCATTTTCTGAATGATCTTCTTGATGTTCTTGTTTGCTGCTTCAACTGCCCCGTTCATCTTTGGGCGGTATGGGGAAGAGTTATGGTGCTGAATTTTGAAGTCAACACATAATTCTGTCATCATCTTGTTGTTCAAGTTGGTTCTATTATCAATGATGATTCTGCTTGGCATACCGTAACGACAAATAAATTCCCTTTTGATGAACTTTGCAACCACATTTCGAGTCACATGGGCATATGAAGCGGCTTCGACCAACCCATTTGGTGAAATAGTCAATAGCAACCAAAATGAAGCGATGTCCATTTGACGCTTTCGGCTCAATAGGGCCAATAACATCCATTCCCCACATTGAAAATTGCCAAGGTGGTGACAAAAGATTAAGAAAAGTTGGCAAAGCATTGATGTTATCAACATACATCTAGTATTTAAAGCAATCATTTTCCATTTCCTCACAACTATGTTTATTTGCACAATCAAAATTATTTGATGCAACACTAGCATCATCACTTTCAAGTGCATTTTTCGCATTCTTTAAAGTTAGGATAAGATTGATAAAAAGATTAAGGAGAAAGGAAGATGTAAGATGTGAAAGATGAGTGAATGCATTTTTGAGATTAAGGAGAAAGGAAAGGGTAAGAGATGAAAGAAGAATGAATGCATTTTATTTAATATTTAAAAGGAAATACATGAGCCCTTATTCAAATAAATAAATCTTAAAGCCTTGGGCAGAGCAATAAGACTGACATTACAAGAAAATTACTTCAAATTTGAATTAAAAACCACAGGTAGCTTGACAATCTCCCAATTATTAAGTTCCATGTTCAGTGGACAAGCGTGAACTAGACTAGCATGTTTGTCCTCATGAGAGTCTTGCTCAACAACAGCCATTGAGTTTGGAAACTCAAACCCCGCACTTCAAAAGATTTCTCGCAGATCACTGATAGGGACCCCATCTATTCCCCTCAACAGAATTAACTGTCGACCCTCCATGACCTAGTAGAGGGTTGTTCCCAATATTAGGATTATCCTCTTTAAAGTTTAACCACCCAGCCTTAGTCAAACTTTGTACCTTAATTTTTAGTGCTCTGTAATTTTCAAGGGAGTGACCAATAACTCCCACATGATAATCACATTTGGCATTAACGTCGTATCCCCTAGGATATGGTGGTTCTACGGGCTTCATCAGGTAAGGTACTACTAGTGAATTTTATAGTAGGAGAGGGAACAACTCAGTATTGGACATAGGGATAGGGTCAAACTCAAATGGCTTTCGATCTTGGGTATTTTGTGACCTCATATGGCTAGAGTTTTGGTTCCATGGCTAGGTAAATTGAGGTGGTCATGCGGTAGGTGTTGCGAGTGAAACTTGCAGAGCTTGATGGATAGGTTGATGAGGATATGGTGAGATGGTAGTGCTATTTGGGTAGGCCATGTGAGGTATAAAAATAAGGAGGTTGGTAGGGAACTTGATGTTTATAAGAGGCAACATTCATGGGTGAAACCTCAGGTTGGGTAGGTTGCAACCGTGTAGGCGGATAATTAACCAATGGTTGGTGTTTATCCGGAGGGTCCATGATTGTTGGAGGTGTGTAGTTGGGCGGAAGGCCATATGGTGGCCATTGGACCTCTGGAGGATCAACTTGTTGGTCGGGTCTATTAAGATGTAGAGCTTGTAGTTGTGATGAGATTGGGGTAAAACCAGGTAGATACGTAGGAGAAATTGACGATTCTCCTCTAATTAATTGAGGGGTCCCTTCTATATTTACCACTTCTGTAGACTGTAACATCTTTAGAATTTGGCTCATTTGTTCTTTCAGTTGATTGATATCATTCCTCAATTCTTCTAAAGATAAAAATGTTATTCAATTAACGTTATTATTTGTTGTATATTGAATACTTTCTTAACAATAACCTTGAAGACAACAAATTATATTCACTCTGTACATACAATTATTTTCAACAAATCAAAAAACAAAAAAAAGGGTTAAGAAAAGAATATGATACCAAATGTGAGGCGAATAAATTGTTGAACTTGTTATCGTGTTGAATTTTCAAATATGAGGATCTATTAGGTATTTTTTGGCTACCTTTCACACTATACAGATGCCTCACAAATCTCAAGAAATATAAAGAGAGAGAAAGAGAGAGGATTTTCGAGCTATAAGGAGTCTTAGACTAATTTTTTCTTGGCCTCGAGAACAGTGTCCGAGTATACTATTTATAGACGTAAGACCTGACAAGAACGACTCATTCCAGATCAGAATGACCCATTCTAAATCATTCAGTTATGAGCTAAATTTGATCCTAGAACGGCCCGTTCTAAAGATAGAACGGTCCGTTCCATATATGAACGTATCTCATAACAAACTGCACTAGAACAACCCATTTTGGTCCCTTCTCAATTAGGGTTTTAGGTCTTTTTAGTAACTTGGAACGGGCTGTTCCAATTTAGGAACGACCTGTTCCGACTTGGGAATGACCTGTTCCAATTTTAGAACAGCTCGTTCTAGGCTACTAAAACCAACTTGTTTGGGCTTCAAGCTTCCTTGTTGTCATATGGTGTTGCCTTCATACTTTATGAGCTCCTTGGCCTCGAGAACAGTGTCCGAGTATACTATTTATAGACGTAAGACCTGACAAGAACGACTCATTCCAGATCAGAATGACCCATTCTAAATCATTCAGTTATGAGCTAAATTTGATCCTAGAACGGCCCGTTCTAAAGATAGAACGGTCCGTTCCATATATGAACGTATCTCATAACAAACTGCACTAGAACAACCCATTTTGGTCCCTTCTCAATTAGGGTTTTAGGTCTTTTTAGTAACTTGGAACGGGCTGTTCCAATTTAGGAACGACCTGTTCCGACTTGGGAATGACCTGTTCCAATTTTAGAACAGCTCGTTCTAGGCTACTAAAACCAACTTGTTTGGGCTTCAAGCTTCCTTGTTGTCATATGGTGTTGCCTTCATACTTTATGAGCTCCTCCTCTTCATATTAGACGTCCATTTCATTGCTTTTGTAGGTCCGGAAAAAATTGGGTGTCTACAACTAGATAAAATTGGTTATTCACAGTTACCCCTCTTTATTTATTTCTTATTAAATAATCTAAATAAGGTAATTTAGATCATTTGTGATAAGAAATAAATAAAGATGTGAATTAATTTTATCTAGCTACCCAAGACATAGCTCCTATTGTTGATGCGAGTAAGTTCTAAACTTGAACATTGGCACCAAAATGAACAAATACATGCTTACTCTTTAAAAAATCTTAAAAATCCTAATTGAATACCACTGAATTATTTTTAAGTGACATCAAATCTTGATTGAATACCAACAGACTTTTTTACTCAAAAAAAGTTTTTTAAAATCCTATGAAATCCTAAACCAATACACCCCCCTAACCCTACAAAAATCAAATTTGTTAATCTAGTAATTATAAGATTTGTTTTGAGATACGAAAAAATTAATTTGATGTTTCCAAATGCAATTGTGTGTAATATTCGACTAAAGAAAGACAAATTTAAATCCTAACTTCTTCATTATAATTGAGATGAAAAAAGTTAATTCTACTAATTTTTAATAAATTTCATTTCTTTTATCCATAAAATAAATTACAAAAGTAATTTCTACTTCAACTTCTTCCCTCCAAATCACTAAATTAATTCTAATGATATAATCAATTTCATCTAATAATAGTAAAAGATAATAAAGAGTGAGCATAAAAAATTATTGCTATTTGTTTCCAAAACTTTCCATTCATAAAATATTTTAATCCAACTGCTATACAACCGGCCATCAAACCAAACCAGTGTGACACAATAACCAAACCTAGCGTCTAGGTTACCCTGTTGTCTAGGTGGCGTTTCATGTCGTGTTACTTGTTTGTAAGTGTCACTATAATATCATCATTGCTCGCAGAGACACTTCGTGTCCACCGTCACATTCCATTCACCATTCACAAATAAAAGCAAAACATCCTTAGTTTAGATTCCTTCGCACTTACAAACACAATCACCCCCCACTACTTTCCAATTTTCCACTATGCAAACTCAGACCCATATCCAATTTTTGTGGAATTTTCAACCGTGACCTCAATCACCAGAATGAAATTCGGGAAAGA